CATTAATCACATACAAATGATTCAAGCCAGATCTCAATCCTAAACCCAACAGCCCCTTCCAGAAGTGAAGGCTGACTGAATGAGATCTTAGGAGGCTTTTATACTGCTTTGATAATACAATGCAACCTCAAGGCCTCCATCTCTCTGCTGTGGTTACACTGTAATCTGTTCAGGCAAATGTAATCTCCCTGGAAGGGACCAGAGATTCGTCTGTGCTAATCAAATTCTCTTTTTATGTTATAAAAACTAAAGCATTCTGAGGAAGGAGCCTGCAATCGTTTGGGATCCACTGTGTCTGGTCTATGGTTTACTTTGATGTCTTTGATGTTAGCATCACAGAGTGAAGTTACAAATTCCACTCCAAAGGACACCCTCTTCTTGTTAATTCAAAGGTATTTAGTGACATCTAGTGGCAACAGACTGACTATAAGTGAGAACCTGCTGTAAACAATTATTGCATACATGTCTCTTTTCCCCACCATGGTTTATTTCATGTTTTGTATGTAAAATCCTAATCTAATCCTAATCTGTTTAAATTGATTACAGCCATAAAATGGAGTAAAAAGGAAAAATCTCCTCCTGGAATGCAGTGGAGGCAAAGAAACTCTAAGTAATGTATTTACTTTGTTATTCCATCTGAATGACGATCATTGCTCTTTCTAAATAAATTAAACTTAATAGACTTTTTTTTGCTATTGGTGCACCCCCCAAATCTCCTCAGAGCTGGATTTGTTTGTTTGTTTCATGTTAACAAAATAATTTTCATTCTTTTATGGTAAAAACTATAAAGTGGTCGTATCCATTTAGGCTGGAATATGCTCAAGAAACCCCAATATCATGTTTCAACCCCAATATCACAGTCCAGCTTGAAAAGTTTTCTATACAAGAGGGGGAAATTTTTAAATTCAAGGGCCCACATGCAAGTTGCTGTAGCATCCTTGTACTACCATATCCCAAGTTGTTTTTTTATTCTTTAAACATGACACTGTTCTGTTTTTCTGTGTTGCTGTTATCCCGCACTCAGGTCCCCTGAAATCATTATAGGCCTTCCATTTACTTAGGCCATCAATGTTTGGTATCTTGACTCAATGATGGTCGAGACTCTTGTCAGCTTTCCTTTTCTGTGGAAAAGTGAAAATTATGTGGTGGTCAGTACTCTTGCTGGTTCATTTCTACATTGTTCTCATGTAGTAATATTATTTTTACATGAACTAGTCTTAAAAGGTAAGACATTTTAATACTTCTCTAAGAGCAGCCACACTAAACAACGTGCTAACATGACAAAGATTCTGCAGCTAGTGGCTCTGTGAGACTGTGCTGAGACACAGTGGTGCTTTGAGCTAAATGCTAACACGCTCCAATGATGGTGCTAACATGCTGATGTTTAGCAGGTAACAAGTTCACCATCTTAGTTTAGCATGTTAGCATGCTAACATTTGATAATTAGCACTAAACAGTGTTACTGAGGCTGATAGGGTTGTCAGTAGTTTTCCATGTATATAGTCATAAACCACAATAATATGTGAATTGAAATTTGGACCTGATGGTGGGGCTAAGTGAAAAGTGAAGGCATCACCAAAGTGATTACAATTCATCTTGAGGGCAACATGAATATGGCAGTAGTCATTGAGACATTTCACCCAAAGCCACAAATATCAACCTCATGGTGGTCTGCACAAAATGTCAAGGCAGTCCATTCAAAAGTAAATAAATACAGAGCTGTTCTATCATGGAAGTCGCAAGAAACCTTCTGTGACCCGACCAACCAAATATAAATTCTCTATTAGATAATTTGCTGAAAAAGCCAGGAACTTATTTTGGCTAATGTCAATTCAAACAATGTCTTTGCATTTAGTTGAGGCTGCTCCAAGAAGAACAGCACATAGGATTTTGATAGGAGGGCTTGTGTTGAGCTGTTGAAGGAAATGCTGTGAAATGTTGTGCTTCAATCCATTTATTATGTCTTTTTCTTGGCACAGACATTGTAGATGACTTTACTGGTTGATGTAATGTCTGTAATTTGTACATGACCATAAAATTGTACATTTATCATTTGGTAACAAGCTGCTGAAACCAGTAGGGGTCAAGCATCACCAAAGACATTGCTTTTTCTGTGTGTGCATGCGTATTTGTTTACCTGGGGAACCTCTCGTAAATGTGAACCCTCCTGTAGATGTTCCATAAAACTGCCGCCAGGTGTCACCATGGTTTTGCCAGCTGAGATGACCACGAAGAGTACTGCCATTAGGTAAGATAATTTCCATCCATCCATCCATCGTCAACTGCTTATCCTGCGTACAGGGTCGCTTGGGGCTAGAGCCAGTCCCAGCTTACATTGGGCGAAAGGCTGGGTACACCCTGGACAGGTGGTAATCATTTCATCTAGTCATACCCCTAAACCCTCAGTTGAGGATCAAAGAAAACACATGGAGTTAGGCAATATCAAATCTGTGATTGCGTTCATACCTAATGTACACAAATTTCATCTTATTGGCCAGTACACTAACAGTGCTATTCAGTATCAGAGCAAGCATATGTACTTCCAGCATATAGTATTGGTCTACTTGAGATGTACGTAGGATGAACGAAGGGGGTCAAATAAGGTGGCACCACCGCACCTTCACTTTCATATGGGTGCTATCAAAACAGGTAACAGCAGGTTGAACAAGTGTCCAATACACCTGTAACTTTCCCTTAAAAAAGATAATGTCACTGTTCCTCTCTAATCTGGACAGGCCCTGCTCTTCTGAACTTGTATGGACCAACAATGACTGTCTGAAGGCTACGGATGATACAGATCTCATATTGGAACCTGTCAGTGAACAGGACATAACTTACGATAGTTGTCTTGTACTGGACTTCAACAAGCTTAGCTGAGGACTGTGACATTGGGAACATTGAATCGGTCCCTCCAAACACCCGTGTTGAAACTTCCGCTTCCAACAGTATTAAATCCTTGCACACATCTGGTGGGAAATATTCATCTCTCCTTGTCTGAATTGTCATGGCTTTCCACTCTCCATTTACAGTTCAGTCCTTCAAGTTGACTACAGCATGGACAATACCTTTAATTTGTAGGGGCTGTGAGCCCACTAAAAAGAAAATGAAGAAAAGAACCTGAGGATTCTCCTCCACCTTAAAGATTAAGTTTTCCTCCTGCTTACATGTGCGTGAGGATGAAGATGAGCAAAGTAGTCTGTGAAGGTTTTGTAGTTAAACTCACTCTGTCAGGTTAAGTTTAACCGTGTCACTTTCAATTGCACTTAAACGGGCTTGGATGTTTAAAACTATACCACAGTTTGAATGTCTTAGGTCCTTCCTATGATGGTTGCATGTTCCTCCCGTGTTGTGAGGTTTTTCCCTGGGGACTCGGTTTCCTCCCACAGTCCAATATGTTGTGCATTTTAGAACAAATGACCATTGCAAACAGCTAACAACATGCATCTGCTGCAGCCCTCATATTTTTGTCCCACAAGTGGTAAGGATCTCAGTATTAAATAGTTATCTCGCTCCCTGTTTAATTCATTCTGCAATTTTGTTTGCTGCAGTGTAATATGAATTGATGCCCACAAGGCTGCTATCATGGCTACAGATTTTAAGACTTGTTTTAACAAATGTTGAGTAAATACTGGAGATGTCCCACATTGTGCATCCTTATCCTAACATTTGACAACAGAAATATATTTTTACTTATACTTTAAACCCCTCATATTTATCGTGACTTCCCTGATTAGAGTTTCCGTTCCATTGGGAACTATTTAAGTGATGCAGATGGTGGAGGCAAAAAGCAACCCCTATGTTCTTAATGGACTATGTTTACTTGAATCTCTGCCTGCTCAGACCAATGTAATTATTTCAATCTGGAGGCCTTTATTTAAATGTGAGCTCAAATGTCAGGGCAAGTCCAAAATGTTTTCCCCTCAGATGCTAAACCATATACTATACATACGCCTAGACTTTGGCCTTGATCAATGGCACTTTTGACAGATAAATTTTCATATGGTGGAATAAATGAGTAAATACTACACACACCTGAAGCTCTAGATATACTAGAGCAGGGGTCCAGTTTCAGAAAATTTCCCGAAGCAAAGGTCCGGAACATCAAAACGACTAACTTGCGTTATCATTCAGTACCATAACGTATAGTTGTATCAACATATGTTTTTAGTCAACAACGGACTGTCAAATCAAATAATATTTCAGTCAGTTTTCACATCAAACTGGAGGATAATAAATAATAACTACTCTAATAATAAATTCAAAATTTAAGTAAACTAAAATAAAGTGCCTCATTTTTAGAAAACATGAAATAAAAAGTAGCTTGAAGTGATGAAGTGTAGTCTTAACCAATTTTATAATAAACACTCAACACATCATAACAAATGAACAGCTGTAATGCCTCCTCTTCTGTTTCATTCCCTCTTACAGAGCTACCACTCCTACTTTCTCTTGTTCAGTGAGAAACGTGAGCTCTAGTTTGAGATATTCTGGTTCTGAACTGCCCGTGGGAGGAATGTACATGTAAAAATCTGTACATTCTGTACATTCCCAGCCCGGCTGGGTCCGGATCCGAACCGCGGTCCCCCTATTAGTGATCTCTGTACTAGAGTAACATGGTTCACATTTACTAACATCAACCCAGAAAAAAATCTGTAGTTGTAGGTTGAGCTAAATCTCAATTTTCAATGTAATTTTCAAAATTTTCAATGATTATGATAATTTTTCTATGTAGCCTAACGTTACCTTTTCAGTGGCAATGTCAACAGACTGAGTGGTGCTGCTGTGATGCTAGCATTCATTTTGTGAGCTCCTGCAAGCAAAATGTTGCTATAAAGACAGTCGCACCATAAAAGTGAGACTAAATAAATGTTATACGTTCCCAACACGTATATAGATTAAATAATAAGTAAGTACAAAGTACGTGTCCGTGGACTTTATCATTATTATTTGTGTTTTGTGCTATGGTTTTGTGGAGTCATGATGCTTTTATTCTGAAATATTCAGACAGGAAGTTTGAATGTTGCTGCTAACGAAAGACGAGCAGGCTGCGAAGTGCGTACCGCAACATTACATTACTCTGTACATCACACAGTGAGTGACATTTTATTTGAATTTATCAAAAGCAGAAAACAGGTCTGTTGCAGCTCATTAGAAAGCGCTGGTGCAGAGGGCTTGTTTCAGCTTGTTTGTGCAATGAAGCAACTTGTCAGTAAGGGTGCCATCCAACGTTACCAGCGCAGCTGACGGTGACGGCTAGCTGGCTAATAGGTTTATAGCGGTCAGGTCTATGCGGAGCTTTTAAATAGGAAAATTAATTGACAGCAGAAGTGTGTTTTGGTTTAGGTGACTAGCGCAGTTAGGAAGGACCGTCTGCTTTACTCACGCGAGCATATATAAGCAAATAGCAGAAAAGTATACTTGCTAGCAAGCTTAGACTGTATTTGAATGTTTAGATCTTTTTTTCCGGTTTGCCAATTCAGCAAAATGTCATATAAGGAACTTGGTCATCTTTCCCCACGTATCGTGTCTTAGGTGTCCTTACAACTTCTTTCATATGCTTGTGATAAATTCTTTTCATTCCATGGACCCTCAGATTTCTCCCTGGTTAGGGAGGGCAGTGATACCATGTGGAAGTCACATGAACGACAAGGATGAGGCATAAACAACAAGGGGGCAGACTGACGAGAGAGCCGCTGCACAGTGTCTACCATAGGGAGGGGGTTTGCTGCTTGTAAAGGCCCTGCACAAGGACCCCCCTGTGTTCCCCTCTCCTGAACATATGCAATGAACACCACTACTCAGCCCCCTGCCATCATAGATGGGGATGTGGCAGTCGGCTATGTGTTGGTGCCATTTCTCCTCATCACTATCATTGGGATAGTTGCAGCTGTGGTAAGTGAGTAGTTGGGTTTGGTTGACAAAGTTGACTTGCTTAAAAACATGTAGTTTCTATAAGCTGTCATATCTGGAAAGTAGAAATACTACCATTTAACTTGAGGCACATTTGGAAGACCTGCTTATAGACAGTATATGTAATACTCATTCATTTTTATCTATTTCAGATCATGTATATTCGCAAGAAAAGGAGGTAAGATTTTTAATCCACGCATACTGATTTTATGGCGTTTGTGTTACCTTGATTTCTTGAATTCTGTGTCTCAGTTTGATTCATTAAATCACCGTTTGATTTCCTTAATTCTGTCTCAGAATTGACAGACTCCGTCATCAGCTGTTACCGGTTTACACGTACGATCCTTCAGAGGAACTTAATGAAGCTGAACAAGAAATGCTGTGGAGAGAAGAGGACACAAGGGTAGGATGCACCATTGGTTTTCAGACCAGTTATAATTCTACCTATAGAATAAGATAGGTGTTCTTTCTAAATGTTGGGTGTTTATTAAATATGCCACATATTTATACAATTGGCCACATTTTCCACAAAAGACATTTCTTCTGTTGCCTTGTATTGTTTTTTTACTGTGTGGTTGAGCTTGGTTGGACTATCCACGCTTTTAACATAGCAGTTCCTCAATTGGTTAGTCACTTCCTCCTCCACGTAGAAACACAGCTGCAATAAGAACAGTAGAAAGTATAATAGTAGTAGTAGTAGTAGTAGTACAGTAGGGTTGCTGTACTCGTTTTATTTGCAAGTTTCAAATAAAACAAAAGAACGCTAAAAAGAATATGTAAATCCCTCACAATAGCAGTCAGTGGCTAGTTTTGATTCCTCTTAAGTGATCAGTTATTCTATAAAGATGACTGACGTGTTTCTTTCAACACAAAGTTTGACCTTTCAGACAGTTCCTTGAATCAGTGTTTAGGTTTAGTTTAAGGCAGTTCTAAAAACCCAGTCTATTTTAGTGTCACGTTATCTAAAGGTTAAACCAAAAATGCCTTACCTGCCTGTGAAGCTCCTCTGACTGTCCTGGTGGTACAAATACTCTAGTATAGAAATAGATGGTTATGACTGAAATTACACACTAGAAATTAAATTGGCCTGGTTTTGTTCGTCACAGATCATGCACTGAGCCATGAGAAACACTAGGTGGCAATATTGACCACGGGGCAATGTTTTACTCTACAATACATATGAACAAAACCATCATCTAATCCAATACAGAGAAAGTGAACTGAATTTCATTTGTGGCGTTTAAAAAAACCCTGAAAAGCAACATGTCTTGCCAGAGACCTGTTACTGAGGATAATCTAGTCTCAAAGGCTACCGTAACTCGCATTACAGTCTGTGGATTATCCTCAGTACCCAGGATCTGGAAAGACTCGTAGCTTCTTATGTTCAAATGCTTTTTCATCCACAAATGAAACATCATTAACCTCCATTGTTTTGGGGTGGCTACAGAAGTTTCATATGCAGAAATGTTACAATCTTCAACACATAAAACTGGCTTGATACTATTGGGGTGTAAGTGAGAAAATCTTTTTGGAAACAATGTTGCACTCAAGTTGTGCATTTTAAAAATTACTGTGCTTGCACTTTGTGTCTTCAGGTTGTACAAGGTTGGGCCAGGAGTTATCAACAGCGGCGCCCTCTTCTGGCCAAAGATGCATGATGGTTGTAAACCCTGGCATAGAACATTTTTAATGTCGGACTAACCTACAGCCACAGAGATCTGTCATTTTTGGAAGTCATGCAGAAGAATTTCCCTTTCTTTTTTTTCTTCTTCGCTGGCGTATGCCTTTATCTTTGAGCACATCAGCAAAAGTCAGCGTTTTTGTTTTTCGAGTTTTATGTACAGTGACAGTTCTTGGTGTGATTCTGATGCCAATCCTGTGTGCCTAACAGACACCATAACTTATTTATATGAAATTATTTATTCAAACTTTTTACTTTGGTATTTAGTGACATGACTCAACATTAGGAAAGGTGAAATCTAAAGAGACAGGTTCCTATGTTGTTTACACACACACAATGTTGTTGTGGGCGACATGTGGCAAACAGTTTTGTTCCTGTGGGTTACAGTAAGCATTTTAATCTGACTATAATTTAGGGGCAGCCTTTGCACTGTGGTAAGAGTATGAAGTTCTGCACTAGTTAAAAATCACTCCTGCTGCGAGAGGGTTTGGCCTCATTGCCCAGTAGGTTGTTTACAGTGCATTAAAAACAACTGTGGCTTCTTTGATGAAATGCTTTACTTTTCAACATATATCACATTTGTTGACATGAAACACTGCAATATCACTTGAGTTTTAGTAAGTTATACATTTAAAGAGTTTTAAATGTATAGTTTAATATTGACAAAGATAGATAGCTGTTTGATCTGGTACATTTTATTTCAGTTTCATTTTGAGTCAAAAGGTTGTTTTGATTTTGATTTTTTTCTCAGAATCTAACTAGCTGCCCCAAAATCTGGATCTTTTTGGTGGTTTAGCCAAATCCTATGACTCTTATCAATGGTATGAAAAGCCAGATAAGGAAGTAAATAAAGCCAACCTCCATTCATCCCCAAAATGAGTTGTGACTAGTGCCCTAAATATGTCCTGTCTCCAAGGCATGGCACCAGCATGAATTTACCTCCAGATGAAGTCTGTTCAGATGAATGCCATAGGTCTGACTGTATCAAGCTCTCAGGAAACCTCACTCTTACATTTCCTGTTCTTTATTTGCCTTACATTTGGGAATGTAAACTAAATACAATGGGACTGTTAAGCTTTTTTGAGGGGGACTATGCATTGTAGTAGTAGACAGAATGCCTAACCTTGATGTTATCAGGTATGACATCTACAGGGACTCCACAATAAGAATGAGCTTTTACATGTTTTCATTTTATGGACCTGAAAAAAACATTTTTACCCCATTAGGACATTACTATGCATTATATAGAGATCTTTTTTCCATTTTCAGTACCAGCCGAAATACGGTACTCGATTTAAACTGTACACATTTCCGCTCATGACATTGATTTGCACTGGTGAAACACCTGGTGTACATGTCACAGAAGGCTGATTTAAGGTTGCACTTTAAAACTACTGATATAAATGTGCATTTGGCAGTGCTGTAACAAGTTTGACTATTACAGGCTTATTGCAAGAGATAATAGGTTGGTTTATACTTGTAAATAAAGTAATAACTGTCTTGTGCTGTAATTGTGATTTGCAGTTTAATTAGCCAGTAGTGCTTCTGTATAGTGAATTTCAATGCAAATCATGATCTGCATGTTTATTTGAACCTTTGGGTGGATGGGTTAGGGTTGTAACGATATGGATGCATCCCTTTAAAAAAAAAAAATAATAAGTGACAGAAAAATGACAAAGAAAAATTCTCTTTATTGACCATTTCTGATACAAACTGTTGTAGGGCACCATAGAAATATAGACATTGTACATTTATATACGGTGTACATTAAAAAGAATGATCACATCCTGTTGAGTTTACAGTATATGAATGGATGCAAGATGTTGGTATGTAAAATGACACGATACTGTCAAGAGTAGTTGGATGTTTGAGAGAGAAAAAAGAAAAAAAAAAAAAAAAAAAAAAAAAAAGAAAATGACCATTGTATGAGTATGGCTGTGTGCGGTAGTGCCAGACACACTGTGGCCAACAGAACAGTTAAGTGGAAAAAGCGCCCCGTCTGTCACAAACAAACATTTGTCCATGAAAATCTGAACCAATATTTCAGTGCACCAGAATTTTAAAAGGATAAAAACACACTTGCTAATCTACCACAGTCAGCGAACACAGTTGTCAAGCTGACAGGTCTCCCTGACTTGCTTCACACATTTAAAAAAAACATCCTGGCTACAAGCTCCGGTTATGAACGAGCCAAGACGTGCTGCGTATGCACAATCACAAACTTGATATCATAGATAACTCATTACAGTCAGGTTTTTAAAACAAACAAAATGTTTTTAATAACGACATCTTTCCAACTCATGCCAGAGGTTACATTTAAAAACAGAAAACCAGTTAAATGCAATTATACGGTAAAGTAAGCTGTTGAGTGAGGTATGAAATTCCAGGCCCTGTATTGCCTGTTTGCAGTTTTCCGGGTTTCGTAACTGAGGTTGTAGCAGCTTAGGTGTGTGGAAAAACCCAGTTAAGTGGACTGTGACTGCGGGTTCCCTGACACTTAGAAATACACACATCTTTTTTTCCTGTAGCAGACAGCATACAACACACACATCTTCAAAAAGACTAAGAAAGTATATTACTGTACTGAGTGAGGACAGAAGGACCAAGCTAGGTGAAGCAGTGAGCCAGATGGAATGAAAAAAGAAAACCATACAGCCCTGTTGGATAGTAGTGCCACCAACTATCCTGTTACAATCAAACTCCTTGTTTGACTAATTGCAATTTGCCTTACGAGTGATTGAGTGAGCGCTTGGAAACTGAGGACCTTGTGAAGACAAAGACGCCAATGTAACGGCATTTGTAAAAGCTCCCTGAAGAAACGACACTGATGCTCTCGGCCTAGACCTCTGCCAACCCTATCCTTAAAAACACATATACCAAAAGATTTGAGTTTTATTATAAACATGAAAAGCAGCACACTCATGTTTTCTTTAAATGGTATGTAACCCGAAGGAACAAAACAGTAAGTCTGATCAGACTATTGATTACTAATGATACACTTTACGTCTCCCCGCTACACGCCAAGGAAAGTCTGAGAAGTGCAACTAAGTCTAAACTGTCCCACAGGAGGAGGGGGGGGGGGGTAAAGGGTGTCTCTGCTCTACTGGTGAAATCAGTTATACGGGTTAGAAATGGGAAGGGGGAACAAAACAAAACCCACACACACACCAACAAAAAACAAAACAACACACCCCACACCAGTTCAACCATCTGTTACCTATTCTCATCCTACTCTGAAGCTCAACTCCATCTATAATACGATGCAAAGGATTGTGTAACCATTTCACGCGGACAAAAAAAAACAAAAAACACAAACAGCAAGTATAGGTAAAATTCACCCTTGTCCAGTACTAAACGTGGAGAAAAATCTATATGCCCTACCATCTCAGATGCAGGTACAACAAAGTAGTAACATTAAGCATAGAAAATGTCCTACAGACCATCTTTAGGGGGGGAAAAACAGAAACATCCAGGCTCCTTAGAGCAACACTTTTGTCCAGTATAAAAGACTTGTGATACCATGACATGTAGAGAAAAGGGCTGTTACCTTTCATGTAATTCTTAGATCTATGCATGAGCAAGGTCCATCGTTCTATCCAGTGCTGTTGCATGATATTTGTACTGTGTTAACCCTCCTTTTGGTAAGGAGGGCTTTGTCGTGAACAGTGGTCATGTGGTGGCACTGGTCTTGGAGATACAGCCCAGTTCTGGTTAACAGTAAGTCAGTATGTTGAGTGAGGTAGCATGCGTTGTGAATTACTGGTCTTCCTCCTCCTCTTCCTCCTCCGATGATTCCTGGGATGCCTTTTCTTCCTTCTCCTGTGACAGGAGGGAGAAAGGGGAAGGAAAAAATAAAAAAGTCCAGTCAGGTTTCAACTACACCCACAAGGAAAATGCCTCTCAAGTGCCATCAACATTCAGCAACAATAGCTGCCTGTGATTCATGTCTCAACGTGACTTTTTAGTTTTCATAGCCCCGAGTACCAACATGGGGCAAAAGAAAAAAAACAAATGTTATAATTCTCTTTGATAAACCACTGTGGCATGAAGAACACCCAGGGGAAGGGTGAGCCATCTGTAGTGAAAAGTGATTCATAAGAGTGGTGAGTCACTATGAGGCATCCTGCTTTTGCTCCCTTGCCTTTCCTCTTCACACACACACACACACACACTCTACAGCCCAGGCTGTTCATTCATAAAAATGAGACTAGTTGTTAATAGGGTAACTTTGGGTCATTCCTTTCTGTGACTAATTCAATCCAGACTTCTTTTAGAGTACGCCCTAACCACTCATGCACATGACAGAATGTTACTACAAGACCGCAATTTCTTCCTAGATTAAACATGCTTTTTTGACCGGCTCTACATAGTCTGGCAACTTAAGTTTGCAGTTAAACAAAAAAAAACAAAGCTAGTACCGTCAGTGACACATAGGAATACCTTAAGGAGAATTCAGATGTGCCTGGGAAAAACACTGCCAGGCAGAGAATTTGTGCGACCAAGAAGCTGCTCTAAAATGAACACACGAGAGCTAAAATAGCTGTGATGAGTGAAAATTACTCGTCTGAGGGGGTAAGGAGGCAGGCAGGGGGATTAGGAAAATGCAATTTCGCCCCGCAGACAGCCATACCAATCATAATTCAATTGGGAGAGGAATGGTTCAAACAAATGTGAGCACTGATGCTGCACTGTTTGTCCAGGGACTCTTACCTCCTTCTTAGGTCTTCCCCTACGTTTTCCCCCTGCAGATGGGGCTGCTGTTGCCTTCTGTGAAAGAAAACAAGCACAAGGTTAAAAGAGCTGTGGGGCGGGCCCTGCCATTGCATTTTGTTGTGATCTTCATACTTGGTGACCCGCTGATCTGCTCAGCTAAAGCCAACTTTTTTTTCCTTTTTTTTTTTTAAAGGGTGGGAGTGTCAGTACAAAAACCGGTGGTATAAACAATCCATATCTCTGAGTTCTGCCTCTGGTTGCCAGCAGATGGCAGTAGTAGCTCTATAATCAGACAGATGGAAAGGGGGCATTGGGTTCATTGGCTATTATCTGGAAGGCCGACAGGAACTGCACACAGGGCACTCCAGTTCGCTGGCCACCTGGTCTGAGACAGCTGGTGGAACTGAGCGGAGACACAAACCTCTGCAGCTTGGCCCTCGCTCCTAAACCTATATCATGCATGTACGTCTTGATCGTGCTCGAGCTTTCTCTCCCTTTCCCATACATAGCAGTGTAGACAGAGCGCACGGGGGTGCTGGAGGGCTGGGGCGAGGGAGAAAATCAGTTGTTGCTATGGAGACGACAGGCAGAGAAGAACTAGGGCTGTGTGCTGGGAGGGGGCGGAGGGGTGCTTAGTGTCAGCTTGGAAACAGTCTTGCGGCCTCTGCACCTGCACCGCACTGTGTATGACAAGCTGCAGGAAGCTGGAGGACAGGAAGTACAGAGTGAGCATCACTCAAAAAAAAAAAAAAAAGAAAAAAAAAAAAAAAGTAGTAAGGCAGTAAACTAAGGTCTTTACAATGGGAAACCCTAACCAGGCTATTTCTGACAGCAGGAGGGGAAAAGCAGATATATCACAAGTAACAGCAGGACGTCCTTTTAAGAGGATGAGGTTAGCTACTGTTGAAATACTCAACCAAAAGAATCGGAGGGGGTGGGGTTAGAAAAGGGAAATGCTTGCAAGAGAAGATGGGACAACGGACGCCATGTGCAGCTTCATTGTGAAGCTGCGCCTGTCTGTCTTGGCATGGTCGTTCATTATCGGCTCAGGATGCATGTTGGCTGTTGCTGAAATCATGTAGTGTAAAAAAAACAAACCCCAACAGGACTGCAGACAGCATTGACTTACTTTGGCCTTGCCGGCTGTCTTGTTTTTGCTGCCCTTCGGCCGTCCTCTGGGCCTCTTTGGAGTAGGGGACCCACTTGGTTCCTGGCAGTCAAAAGACAATGTTAGCACGCCACAATAAAGCATCTATATTTTGATAAAAATTGTTTAGCATATCCAAGATAAACACAAGTCACTGCGTCTCTTTAGGGCACATTACATCATGAGGAGAATGCGGCCCTCCTACAAAATAATACGGGCACGGACACTTCCACACGCGAGACTCTGATAGACACGAAGTTCACCATTCAAGGTCAGTGCGACCTGCATGTACTTTAAAGACTGACAGGTGGTCGCAGCCACAGGTTGCCATAGCTCAGCGTATTCTCAAACTCAAATAAAAACAAACATTGGTTCACAAAAGGAAGGGGAGGGGAGGGGAGGGGGGGGTGAACATTTAGGGGGATTACCAGCAACTCCAAAAACGAAAGGTAAATTCAGCATGAGATGAGCTTCCTTGTCCATGTGATAATTTGTGGTTATGAGCCATTTCATGGCAGACGCGTCTCCTGTTGCATTTCTAGGGTGTTTACAACCGCAGCTCTTAGCAACCCAGCAATTCAATACTAAAAACACAGCGTGCTGAGTGACCGCTATATGAGCCATTCTCTGCTTCCACTACGCTGTGTCACCCATTACATGAGGAGCAGGGGTGGGTCATGAGGGGGAGGGTTAAAACCAGTTTAAAGGAGTTGGGTTACAGGTTGCTTACAAACTGGTGAGACACGCAGGAAGTGTGTTTCAGAGGTCTACCTTTACATATGATAAGGGGTGAACGACTGGTCACAAGGGCTTCCTGCAGCTATCTTGATCCAGTGGGCTCAGTAGAACAGCAGGGGCTTATGCCATGGATATGCATGAGCACCTCACCTGCAATTATATCTACCTGAGCATCAACTGGAACAGATGCGGGCTAAAGGCTGTTTTGTTTCTGGTTTTACACCTCGGGAGTCCTCCCTTCTCTTGCGGCCTTGTTGCGTTTTAAATTAGTGACATGCAATCATGACACAATGACAGGCTTATCCCAGCAAATGGAAAGAATAAAACTGGCACTACTTACGTCAGAGGTATTTACCTGGGGCTGCTTGCGGGGTCTTCCACGCCCCCTCTTCTCTGTTGCCTCCTTCTCTTTCGGTGAGACTGTCCCCTTGTCGCTCATGTTTGCTTAGCTTCTTTTTTCCCCCCAGACCTAGGAAATGAATCACACCGGTCAGGCTTGATGCAGGACAAGGCGTCGAGTTCACACACGCGCAGCACAGAAAATACTAGGGCTATTAAACTCACTGACCGCAGCAGCAAACCGCAGATGACCGGGCTAACCGCACACCGGTAACGCGTTTAACTCAATTAATCCGCACTTATTTCCAGGGCTATTTCTGTTTCATCTGCGTTTGGTTACACAGCCGACGGTGGCACACAAACACGGGACTGATACCAAACCGGCTCGCATGATGTAGCTGGGACTCCGGTCGGAGGCCCAGCTGCATATAAAGACTTCTGAACCCGGGGCTCACTTCCCGTACCATCCATGCTTAAAGGCCCGTTTGCTGTAGTTGTTGTGGCCAATAATCGGGCCTTGCATGGGACTATCTCACAGCATGTCTGCACGCCGGGGCCGTGGAGGGATATCCAGCGACACACACACACACACACACACAATGGCTGATGTGTGGTTGGTGGAATTTGCAGGCTCAACCAAAGCCTGCACGGACATTCGTATTTTCTTATTTAAATGCCACAGAAAATGCAAGCGAGTGAGGTGGTTGGGTTAGTTTGCGGCTGCGGAAGCCCGGGCCACAGCAACAAACGACGGCTTCACGTTTAAAGCGTGCAGCCTCCTCTTCTCGCCGGAGCTCCAGCTCTGTTTAAAAAAAATGCATTTAAAAATCGGGTCTGGCTTACCGAGCATGCAAAGTTATACTCGCTCAATGTCGCGTTTCTTGCACTCACCTCTATCGTTTGTCTGTAACGATATGTTTCCTTTAAGCCTGGCTGGTTGTACCCGGTTAAAAGCCTTGCGCGGATCTATAGGCTACAGCTTTTATTCGTCAGGCAACACACAAGCCCGCCCCTTGCAAATCCCAGCTCATGCAGCCTTAAAAAAAACCCAACTAAGTTATGAATTGGGAAGGAAGAGAACAGATTTTTTTTAAAGAAATAAGTAACATTTTTACCAGCAGGTTGAGAAGTTAGTCCCTGCGACGTCCTATAAATAGCACGTGCGTCTTGTCTCCTGCAGATAAGGGAAAAAGGCGGCAGCCAGGAGCAGTTTTGGGGCAATTTAAAGAGCCGCCCTCATGGGAGCTGAACAGTGGAGGGCGGGGATATGATAAATGGGCCACCAACAGAACTAGAGGAGCTCCTCCTCCTTAATCCTTTATATCCCATAGGTTTGATCACAAAACACCAAAAAGCACGTGTAATACCTGTAGTATTAAAAATTTTTTTATCTGATATGCATTTTCTCAGCAGTATATATCACAGTCTCCACAGTGATGGTGAGTGAACTATGACCTCCCCCAATTTAAACACAGGCCGTTTTAAAGCTAAGAAAGGCATTTCTTGTTCTTTTCTTAAAAACAGAAACTTTTACAGTGGTGGAGGAAGTATTTAGATCCTTTACTTTACTTGAGTAAAAGCACCACAATGTAAAACTGCTCCATCGCAAACTGCATTCAAAATGTTAAGTAAAAGCAAAATGTGCTTAAAGTTTAAAAGTTAGTGTACTTGGCTGGTGTGAATGTTTTATGATATATGTCATATATGACATTATTGGATTATGTAACAAGAAATTTCACTCCATATGCTGGATAGTTTAACCTTTAGCAATAATTTATACACTAATATAATATAAACTGATCACATGTGTTTACAATCTTAATTTGTAAAATGACCACTAAATATGACTGTCAGAAAATACTTCAATTCTACATTCCACCACTCTTCTGTTGTTTCACAGTGCATGATTACTTTACATCTGTACATACAAATTTATATAAATTTATGCCAAGCTAGAAAGGTGGGTAAACACCAGTGTGCAAATACAGCTGGGGGTAAAACAAGAATAGGTATGGTTTTCATTAATACTGCTGCAATTTCTTACTATAGCAGAAGTGCTCTACTGGTATTTTATTTAGACTGTTTTAAAATATATTTAATTTAAAAAAAATAATTTATGGGTTACAGCCATCATATCTATGTAATTTTATTCAACAGAAAGGTGTCACCGGCTATGCTCTTCGCTCCCAGGACTCATTTTAATTAACAGTTCCCAAAGAATGTACTGAACTAGGTAAAATATTTTTTACTCTATGAATGCTGCTCTCTCTTTCTGCAGTTAGTTAACTAAATTTGGTCCCTTTCCCTTAATTGAAATTATTTCTGTGTGCACTCTCTTCTGGCTACTGATGATTGGGGCATTTAAGAACAGTGGATCTCAACTTTTTTTGTCTTGCAAAGATTACAGAAATTAAATGAAAAAAGGAATCTTTTGCAGCAAGTGTCTGTTTTCCCTGCTTTCCAGTCCTATCATGTCTCACGCCCCTCATATACTTATCTTCTAAAACCAGTGTTTTAGAACCTTGATATGTTGGTGTCAGTAGTTTTAGGTGGCATTGTGGTGTTTTAAGGTGCCATGTAGGATGAAATCTTTTACCTGATTGTAGAAGAAATTCTATTCATGATTTAATAATCACATCTCTGTCTCATTCTGATTTGTGGCATATTTTGTGTTTTCTGTCTTATGTTATTTCACCATTGCTGCTGCCTATCTTGGCCAGGATACTCTTGAAACAATTTTTTTTTTTATCTCAGTGAGGCTTTCCAGGTTCAATAGATTGCTAAAAAACTGACATGTGAGAGTAGAACATTTTACATTTTTTTGTAATGGATGTGATTTCAACTCTAGAGGTACACATTATTTCAGGAAAAATTCACAAAAATGCAACTCAGTTCAGTCAGGCAAGTTTATGTGTCCCTATACCATATGACATAATTTATTCCTGATCACAGCTCTGGGTCAGTTAAGTAAGTAAAAAAAAAACCACCCACCTACTGCTGCTGCTTCTTTCATCCATATAGATATAGGTGGACTCTTCATGTTGCTCCCCCTCTGTGTTTATGTGACTATTTTGCATTTGAAACAGATAAACATCTGATGTCTATTGCAGGGGTGTGTTGGATACAGAGGAGACAAGGCAAGACGGAATAGAGACGCTCTAATCAAACCACCTACAAGTACTTTCACACAAGGGTTTTTGATGTAAATGAACGGCCCATCTGGAGTTGATGGGTCCTCTGCTATGCAATTGAAAACAGATACTGAGAATGTAGAGTGACCCGAAGGTGGTCGAAACAGATCATTTGCCGCCTGTGTATTTCACTTCTCCGTCCGTTTTGTTACGACTGGTCTCAAGTAACTTGATGCAAACAAAAACATTAAATTATTTTGTCACCCCAAAAACCTTTGTTATCTGCAGATAGATATAAATATACTGTACGTATATGATGAGAAAAGTGGAGGTTGGTGAAAAGGGGATAGGATAGGGCATGAATGGAGGGAGTGCTTTTCTCAATGAGCCCAATGTTCTGCTCAGCATGTGCTTGCCTTGCATGCCACCCCCTTTCTCACTCTATTCACTTCCTTCCTCTCTGTCTTCCACAACTACTTCAGCCCCATCCCCCACACCCTCACACATCTTTGCCATACCCAGCCCCTCTGTATGTGGATGGAGACAGGCAAATAGGTCCACCGTGTGTATGTGTGTGTGTTTGCGTAAGGAATGTTGTCCTTCTCAACCACTGGCACCACCTGGAGACCGATGAAGGGATTGGATAATGTGACTGATCAGAGATGATGCAAAAGCATTTTACATTTAGTTGTGAAGCAAAACAGCTGGTTACAAAAATAACAAAATCAGTGCAAACACTGGAAACTTTTAACGGAGCAGAACGGGGTTTCATCCAAGAGGATGGTCTTTAAAGCATCATTTTGCAAATTTACATAAAAATTTTTATAATGCTCTCCTGGAGCAGTTCTCATAATTTGTTTTGCTTAATTTTGACGAACCCCAACAAGCAAATCCTGCAAATAACTAAATATTATCAATGAATTGATAGAGGACATACTCATGTCAGCAATTTTAATACTCTCAGTGACAATAAAATGTACAGTAGGGAACTAAATGTCCTAGAAAATTGTCGTCTTATCATATAAGAGTAATCGGGTCTTGTATAATAAAGTCAACATTTTTATAAAATTTCATTATCAATCAACACTTTGTTTGGGTTTGGGACTCAGGTTTTCATCTGGATCATCACTTTATATTGGTTAGTAAACTTGAACTTAACTTAACGCTTAATCAGAACACAGCCCCTTATCACAGATCGATGGATAAATGTTTTCTGCACAGGAATGATCAGATCTTAAACCTGTGGCACAAGACATCCACGAAACAAACCGGTGAGTCCGTTTGTGTGTGAAATGCAAATCTTACATGAGATAAACACTTCGAAATCAGACACCCTCTTCAGAGACGTCTCCTGGCTCGTGAACTCTACAGCAGCTCAGGGCAGACAGAATCCTATTAACCAGGGGGGGTCTTGGCCCACTTTGGCATGGTCCCCCCTCCCCCCACCTATGTCCTCCTGCCCTTTTTTTCCCCTCCTCCTATATGCTACATCACGCTCTGCAGCTCATTCTAGCAATCCATTTTTAGGCGCTGTGTAAACCGCAAGAGCGCTGCAGCCAAACCAACTAACAGATGTGGACAAAAACATCCTATTCCTGCCTGTGCCTGGGTTTCCCCCTGCTTGTGCTGCTGTTGGCCCTGGATGAGCCTGAACATGACTAACACACTCATACACACACGCTACTCACATCCTCCCTCTCATCCTCCAAATAGGAGATGGGGGGGAAAGAGAGAGGGACAGGGAGAGAAAATCTATGAGGGGGGAGAGGAAAAGTGTGGGAGCAGTTGAAAGGCAAGGTGGGCGGAGATGGGAATATGTGTGTGGGTGTCTTTTATACTTCTGCATGGGGGCGGATGGAGGTTAGTGGGCGGGGGATGGGGGTCCGGCTGATTCAGTCAGCTCATGAGTAGTATCTGACTCACACAAACACAGGAAGTAGCGCGTGCTGCTTGTTTAGTGAATACAGCACTGTATTTATGTGATACTCCTATAAGCAGGGAATAATAGGAGTTCTTACACTACCTAATTTCACCTCCGAACGTCGGTCACTGAGTCAACGCTCCACTCTCCCTTTTAAATAGTTTCATATCCACATCCTGAGATTTTTGGACAGAGATCCAGCGGGTGCATCAGTCATACTGTGACTCAAGCTTTTGAAATTTCTAAGGGTGAAAGCAGTGCCATATTTGAAACTTCCTTTGGCAACAGCAGCCTTAACATGTCCATATGTCTTTCTTTTTATGTTTTATTATCATTTCTATTAGAATCAACAGCTCAGCTCAGGGTTTATAATATATACTTCTGCTCAGCTCCTCCTTCTAAATCATTAAACCATTTTTAATCTCATCTCCAATCAATTGTGTGTTCTATTGACAAGAATTGTGCATATAGTGGAGCTTTTGCGTGATAAAATATGAAATATTTAATTATTGTTG